TGATTTGCAGAGATCTCTGCTACTACTCCAAAAATCCAGCTATGGTTTACCAGCACAGAATGCAAAGAATGCTGAATTCTCTCAGAATTTACATTCTTCGTATTTACTGAAAAAAATTGTTTTTAGTTTGCTAAAGCAGTAATTTTCCAATTATACTCAACCCAGAGAATACTGCTGCACCCATAAGTATCTAATTTATAATCAAGGAGCCATTCCACTGAGACAGTGTGGATCTGATCACAAGTATATCTCAACTGCCCATATTCCTGGTTCATAAGCTTCTAACCACATGGTGCCTTTAAAGGATGAAGATATGCAACTCAGCATATAAGAAGAACTGACATCTGAAATCTCCTGAATGACAACAGCCAAAGACTGCTTAATTAAGAAACAGCAAAGGAGTCTCAACTCAGCAAGAGGGCCACAGTTCAGTGTTCCCACTGATCACCGATCTGCTTTTTAATCTTCTCCAGCTCATCAACTTCATTCTTTTCTTAATAACTACTTGATTGGTTCGTGTATCTCCTGAGGCTCAAGACTAAAGGAAGAGACATCTATGAAAATTTCAGGACTGTGCCGTTCATGCTGTCTTTCTCTAGTGATTCACTTTAACATGTGTGACACCTTTGTGTTCCGCTGCTACCAGGGGATACAAGTCGTTGAAATGGATGTGGGTGGAAAACTGCCATTTTAGACAGTGTCGTCTGTCGCTCTAAGGGGCCTCGTATATCTGTCCAGAGTGGTCTGCAAGCACAGCGACCAGAGCAATTCAGAGCAATTCTGTTCTGCTTGGAGAACAGGGGTATGGGTTTGGGGGAAGTATCACAAATAGGCATGTTATTTGGGTCCATTCTTGCCAGCAGAGAGGTAAAAGGAAGCAGAGGAGGTTCTGTGGCCATAGTGTGAGTTTTGCTTGGAGGTTTAGAATACTGATGTCAACCTAAGCTGTTCTCCCCAACCCCCAAAATTATATTTATTGAGGTGAAGGCTGTTTATTTCTTTGTGCCCGCCCCAGGGGTTACAGTTTCGACCTCTACAAATATGTACTTCCACACCCTGCCCACCACCATCATCCCACCCGTCTTCGACCATGTTCCACTGGCCCCATTTTCCCCACTTCCACCCCATCACCCTTCCTCTCTCGCTACCTCAGTTTTGTAGTCAGGTGTTAAAAATGTATCATTGGCCTGGGTTTGACTGATAATTTGTTGTGTTTCTCTGATTCCACATATAAGTGAGATCACCCGGTGTTTTTGAGTTTCCAGAGAAGTATTCTAGATTGAGTAACTCAGAATCATGGGGGGCATTAGGCTGGGGTAATGCTAACTACCAATAGGTAAGGCACAAGGTTTCCCAAAGATGATGAAGACCTTCACCGCTGAGGTTGTGCGACATTTCTCTCTGAGAAGAAAGCAAACCTAGACCACTAGGAACCAGGTTGGGACACGGGACATATCCACACACACATTCTCTGTGAAAGTTTCAATTCTGGAAATTTTTCCCTTTGACCATGAGAAATACACATTCAGTTCATAGTTTTAAATGCTCGCCCACACATTTAATTTGCTTTAGCTTTTACAAAGCCTTCAATGCAGTCTGGAGGAAATAAGGGAGCGGACTTTAGGGTAAGTGTGTTTTCTGCCTCCAAATAATTGGGTGAAAAAACAGGCAGGTTCTGGAAACAGAGAAGTTGAGTTTGACTGGATTTTTTATTAAGCAGCTCTGAACTGGATTTGTTGAGGATGTCTGGCAAAATGTCTCTGGCTGCAAGAATGTTTTTCACCAATTTGATATGTAGGAATAATTGCTATCTGGAGAAGAGAGAGCAAGCAGGTATGGAGAAGACCATGCAGAGCAGCTGAGTTTGTTGTGGTAAAGGGCAGCGAGTATTTCCTTGGGTGGAGGGGGTGAGGCCATGTCTCATGCATCCCAAAGAAACCCTGTTTGGAAGGCAGTTTGTGGAGGTGTGGAGCGCGCTGTTGTCCAGCATTTGCTGCATAAAGGCTTTTGCATCTCTGGTTCTTACGATCAATTTTCATTTCAGGAAAGACATGTCTGATTTTGTTGACTTTCTATGGGGTCATGGGTCATTTTCAGATGAACTTTTGTTTGTCTTTTCAGGTTGAGCGACTGTAGGGTAAGGAAAAAATGTCAGGCTTTTCTGCCCTCCCGCCATCAGGATAGATGATGGATCCTTGAGGTCCTGAATGCATGCCTGATGGTGGCACCTGGAGTAGGGTGTGGGCATAGGTAGATGGGATTCACCTGGGCTGAGACTGGGCTTTTAAGGGCGGCATCACGGGGATGCCAGCAGAAGCCAAGAAGCTGAAGGGAAGCCAAGAGAGAAGCAAAGAAGCCGAAGCAGTGAGCCCAGAGAGAGTGCAGATTTGCTGGGGGCTGGGAGGCCTGCCAGCCTCCTGGCCCCCCATCACCCCTGCCTGCTGCGTACCTGGTAATCCCAATAAAAGCCTGCAAAACCACTGAGGACTCTGACTCCTCCTTTATCCGGTCTGCATGGGATCCTAGAAAACCTGCTCAGTGGTCATTCCTGACTTTACAGCAACCAATGCTGTTTCTGCCATGAAATCTTTTTTTTCTGCAACACTGCTCTGTGAGAGTTTGTCATATTACTTCCCAGGCATTCATGTAATATTTTTTATTATGTTGGTTCAACTCCCACTCTTACCCCCAAATGGCCATCACTCATCTCCAACGTCCTCCTCTAGGAGCTCAACTAACACTGCTAATTTAGAGAGAAAGTGAGAATAAAGAGTAAAGGATTAGGGGAATATATTTTTTAATTGCTGCTTTGTTGAAAGTCTTAAGTGAATACATTGATTCTATTTCCCTATTGTACCACAGCCCTACCAACAGCTGGTATTGTCAGATTTTAAAATTTCTGCCAATTATGCCTAGAATAATTATATTTCATTGTGGTTTTGATTCTGCATCCCTGATTATCAGTAAGATTGCCATCATTTCAAATATTTGTTGCCAACCACGTGAACTCTTCTGTGAAAGCTAGGTCAGTAATTTTGCCTTGTTTTCTGTTGGGTTATTTATCTTTCTTCCTATTGTATCATAGGAATATTTTAGACAGTTTGGATACTAAATCCTTTGTCAGTTCTAAGTGTTAGAAATATTTGGCAGATGCTTTTTCCTTATCTTTTTTTATAAGGTTGTCATACAAAATAATTTTAATGTAAAATTCTGTAATCTGATGTTTGTATCATTTTATGTTTTTTAAAATCATATTTTTTATTATGACATTATAAAGATGTTTTTACTCTATTGTCTTCTGTAAATAGTTTTCCATTTGAAATTTAAGCCCTTGACATGCTTTGATTTTATTTTCTTTCTCATAGATAAAAATTATTCCAATGTAATATTTGATTAATCTAAGCACTGATGTGAAATGTCATCTCTATCATAAAACAACTTTCCATTTTCATATTATATAATATTTTTCTTGGATTCTCTTCCATTGCCCTGTTGACTTACAACTCCCAAAATACCATATTGTCTTAACCACTATGGTTTATAATAAATAACTGAAAAGGTAAATCTCTCAGGTTGTTTTCCATTATTAGTAATACATTATCTAATTGTAGTTTTTCATTTATCTGAAGAATTTGTTCAAATTAATAAAAATACTCCTGCAATTTTTTTTTAGAATTGCACAGAATTATACATTTGAGAATCAGGGACATCTGCATAAAATTGTACCTTCCTATCTATAAACATTGTAGATTTCTCCATTATCTAGAATTTCTAAAATATCTTTAAATAAGATTTTCTAATTTTCCCAGAAAATATTTGCACATCTTTTGTTAGATTTATTCCTAGTTTTCTTATATTTTATGCTGTTTTTTTCACTAAATTTTCTACCTTGTCCTAGTCATCAATGTAACTGCTTTTTCTTTCCTTTTTTTTTTAAGATTTATTTATTTATTTATACAAGAACCGGGGTACAGGCCAGATGTGCAGGAGGGTGAGAGGATTCACCAGAGCCAGAGTGGGGAACAGAACAGGCAGACTAACTGAAATACACTGTTGAGGGAAGCAGCAGGCGAGACAGGAGAGGTCTGCCACGCCATGTGGGACCCTCGCTGGCTGGCAGGGATCTGACCGGCACTGCGGGGGCTGTGGACAGCTTCACAGCATTGTGCTCAACCACCTGCACCACCAGGGGAGGCCCATAATTTTTCTTTATTGAGTTGGAATCCAGTAGGGTTGCCAAGTCATCTTCTTGATTCTAACTATTTATAGATTATTTTGTTTTCTATATAGAAAATCAGTCTATCTGAAAATAACAAATTATTTTTCCTTCTTTTGAAAACCATTTATTTTTATATCTCTCTGTTTTTATATTAGCTGGCTGGAATTTCCAGCGCAATCTAACCAGAAGTCCTAAGTCTCATTTGACTCTTATTTTTAAATAAATGCTTTAAAATATTTAACTGTAAAGTATGATGCTTACTCCAGGGTTTTCTTTCTGGCAAAGTCAATATCAGAATTATGTTCAAATTAAGTTTATCACAATTTTTTAAGGAAATCTAAAATAAAGCAGTTTTTCTGTATGAAGTTAACTCTATTATTTAAAACAGCACTGAAGCAAGCAGTCCAGGATGGATATAGCATAAAATCATCAAGAATGAAGCTCTTTAATCTTTAATTCCCCAACCATCACTCTTCATAGCAATTGTCCTTTCGAGTTTGTGTCATAGCCCTAAGTAGCTTTTTGGTCTCAGGTCAGCATGTTAACCATTGGGGGAGCAAAATGAAGGAAGTTGGGGGGAAAGAGAAGGGCAACAGAATCAATTTCCGCTAAGAGAACTTCTAAGCGGTCTCATGACACATTAGCCCTTACAGACAATTAGTCAGCTACAAGTTTAAATGAAGAAATATTTTATTGTAGCCCACATTGATAGCTTTGCCTAAATTGAGATAAGAAGGAGGTAAAGGATAGTAAAAAAGGTAAATTGCAGTTAATCTCTGCTGTTTTAAGAAAATTCCAACCTAATAATTTTTTTTTGCTAATAATTTTTAAAATCATGAATACACATTGACTTTCATTGTGCATCTATTCAGATGATCACATTTCTTTCTTTAATCTGCTAATGCTGTGAATCACATGAATTGATTCCTAATTTAAAGGTACTTCCCACATCCATAATAAGCTCAACTTGGTCATGACATATCTTCTCTAAACATTGTTGGTATAGACTTACTATTATTTTGTTTTCGATTCAGTGGATGTGGGTTGGGCCCTGAGAATTTGCATTGCTAACAATTTCCATGTGATGTTGATGCTGCTAAACATCACAATTTGAGAAACATTGCCCAAGTTCACAATGCACTAAAATCGCTGGTCTACATAATCTCTCTCGACTTTCTTATTTATTTACCTTTGTCCTAAATATCTGCCTCATACCCCTCCACAGGCCATTGTCTTAGGTTAGGTTGAAACTGACTCTGAGATGGGGTGTTGCATGAAGGTTTTGGGTTAGAGATCTCAGGAGATAACCCCATTTTGGAGCCAGGGAAAGGCAAGAAAGACCACCTGACACACATGGGTTTCCACTGAGGCTTTGTCTAATTCTACTGAGGTGCTCTGCAGCTGAGCCAGCACTTCAGAGGCCTCCTCAATGGAGACAAATGTTTTGGTCAATCATTGCTGCCGGAAGTCAAGGTTTTACATTGAGGCAGCTCTCTGCTGCCAGGGTGGTGCCGGGAAAGAGGAGGATTGCAGGTGTGAGCTGTCAGCAGCAGAGATTCTCAGCAGCTGTAAAGTGGAGGCTTTTGCTCCGGAGAAAGGTCTGTGCATGCTGTGTTCCAAGATTATTTAAGCTGTATTATTCAGTGAGAAAAACAAATTTTGGAGGCATGTATACAGTACCATCCCATTTTCAGAAAACAAATATCTTTGTTATTTTTATAAATCCTTGTGTTTTTGAATGTGGAAGAGACTGTGGAAAGAAAAATCCTAGGCTCTTAGGCACAAATCACCGCAAGGGGATGCAAGTGTGACAGGAAGGGGATTCCTTGCAAACAGAAATTGGTAAGTTAGAGTTGTTTGTTTTCTCAATGCTAAAATAAGACTTCTAGAAATGTCTAGAAAAAGTTCAACAATTGGGTCTTTGATAAGGGTTTGAAACCAGGAAAGATGCCACAACATCACTTCATCTCTGGCTCAGGGGTCTGGTTGAGAAGGGTAACACCTTGTACTGATCCCCTCTGCGCCTCCTCTTCTCTTTCCCAGCTTCAATTTTCTAGACATTTGGAAAATAGGAAAGAAAAGAAAAAGAAGTAATGGAGCTAATCACTTTGATAGGCTAGAAAAAGAAATATGGTGGAGCTTTGTGTTCCCCTGGAAGTTAATTATTGTCACAGAATGACTTGTGATGTAATAAAGGACCAGTCATCTTAATTATTTTTCCTTTCCAAGCAGGCATGATTGATACCAGATACCAGACAGACATACTCACTAAACTAAGCCCCATCAGGTGAAACAGAACTGCTTTCTTCTTAATTATCTCTGGTTTGGAATCATGTTATTTCATTTGGTGTTATTTTTCTTTTGTAACCACTAATTTGTTGTTAAGTTGTCATTAAACCAACTCACCTAGACCAGCTGAGAGTGTCTGGGGATCATCCAAGGTCGGAGATGACCTGTTTTGGATCCAGACTATCGGTTTCCAGTCTCAATCAAGATGGGAAGTTGTGCCCCTTACCAAGGTGGTGCTGGCATAGCATTGAAGCTGGACTCAAATTTCCTTTCTTAATCTTCTTTCCCTATAAAGTTGTCCCTATGAATTTCATTGTGTGAAGAGACAGAATAGAATCAGACTGTGTGTGGGTTCAAATCCCACCTCTTAATCATCTACTTAATTGTAGGGAGTCACTTAATCTCTTCAGGACTCAACTTCCTTACCTCTAAGATGGAGATGCACTCCCTGCATCTTAAAATTGCTAAAAGACATTACAGAAACTAATTTACATAGATATATATTAAATGATGCCCAACACATAGTACACACCCATAATCGTTAAGCTTTTCTAAAATTTTAAGTCAAGTGATTCCCTGCTCATAATATTTTTGCCTTGAAAAATGTTTGAAATTTCAGCTCCTTTGAAATTTCAGCTGTTTTCCCATAACAGACAGGACTCTCTTTCTCCTCTGGCCTCAGTGCCTCTTAGAATGAATCCCCATTTAAATCTAAAGCAAAACCAAACATTTAGCAATGGTGGATATTTTCTTGCTAAAAATAAAGACTTACCTCACTCTTAGAGTTTCCTGTAGAGGCCAGATGCTGAAAGCCTGTGGAGAGAACAGCGTGTGATGAAATCCACAGAAAATACCAAAATGATCATATCCTGGAAATGCATTTTGTTAACACAACGTCCATCCATCCACTCTCCTCTCCCCACAGCCTCTGACTGTGACCACTTAAATCTTAGGACATTACAGTGCAACAGCAAAGATGACAGACTCCAGATGCAGAAGTGAGGCGTCACAATAAAGGAGGTAGCGGCTAAAGAGATTCTGGTGATATTTCCCTTATTTTAGTTTGCCTTTGCTTTTATTTTATGAAATGTATCTGGGTCTGGAGTGAGGAATAAGCAAATAATGCGGAAATGTGCTCCCATCATTTAATTCTTAAAATCTGGTCCCCAGACCAGCATGCATCAATGGCACCCTGGAGTTTGCTTTATTTTTTTTAAAGATTTATTTATTTATGCATACAAGAACTGGGGTATAGCAGTGATGGTGAGAGGATTCACCAGAGACAGAGTGGAGAGCCGAACAGGCAGATGTACTGAAATACACTGCTGAGGGAGGGGAGCAGTGGGCGAGACAGGAGAGGTCTGCTGGGCCATGTGGGTCAGCTCCCTGGCTGGCTGGGGAGTTCTGGAAATCGAACTCGTGCTGCAGTGGCTGGTGATATCTTGACAGCACTGTCTCTTTAACCCCTGCACCACCAGGGAGGTCCCCCGGAGTTTATTTTTTTTTTGTATTAATATTTTTTAATTTAAATTTTATTTTTATATTCCCCATACAATTACAACCCCCTTATTTTGACCCCAATCCCTCCTTTCCCCACCCCCCACACCCTATAGAGTGTCTCTGGTTCATAGTTGTTTGTTGATTTTGATATTTTCTTTCTTATAGTTATTCTTTTTCCTGGTCCCTTATTTAAGTTTTCTAGATTCCTGCTATGAGTGTGACCGTCCGGTATTTTTCTTTTTCTTTCTGGCTTATTTCACTGAGCATGATCCCTTCCAGCTCCATCCATGTTGCTGCAAATTGCATGTGTTATTTTTTTTTTATTAGATAATAAATTTTATTGTTATATTCCCCATACAATTGCAGCCCCCCATTCTGACCCCAATCCCTCCCCTCCTGCTCCTGCCCCCCTAAAAGTGTCTCTGGTTCATAGTTTTTTGTTGATTTTGATTTTCACTTTCTTATAGTTATTCATTTTCCTGGTCCCTTATTTAAGTTTTCTAGATTCCTGCATCACTTGTCATCAGGGAAATGCAAATCAAAACTACCATGAGATACCATCTTACACCAGTGAGAATGGCACATATTAAAAAAACTAGCAACAACAAATGTTGGCGAGGGTGTGGAGAAAAAGGAACTCTTCTGCACTGTTGGTGGGAGTGCAAACTGGTCCAACCACTGTGGAAAGCTGTGTGGAGATTTCTGGACCTACTAAACATAGAGCTTCCATAGGATCCAGCAATTCCACTCCTAGGTATTTACCCAAAGGACACAGAAACATCCATTCCAAAGAGCACCTGCACCCCTATGTTTATAGCAGCACTGTTTACAATAGCTAAGCTTTGGAAACAGCCCAAATGCCCAAAAATAGATGACTGGATCAAGAAGATGTGGTACATATATACCATGGAATATTACTCAGCATTCAAAAAAGATAAACACATGCAATTTGCACAACATGGATGGCGCTGGAAGGGATCATGCTCAGCGAAATAAGCCAAAAAGAAAAAGAAAAATACCGGATGGTCTCACTCATACCCCGGAGTTTGTTTTAAATGCAGATGTTTGGCTCCTTCTCAGACCTGCTGACTCAGGAACTTTGGGTATGTAATTTAAAGAAGGTTGGGCTAAGGGGTGACCTGCATGCTTCTAATGCATCAATTTATGCTCACTTTGAGAACCAGGATAAAAAGGTAGAGGGGGAGAGAGCTCTGTGGACTCCCCAGTTTGTTTCCTGTGTGACCTTGAGATAACCTTGTCACCTCTCAGACCCTGAGTCTTCCTTTTGCAAAAGGTATCTTCTGTTCTGAAGCTAATGAGTGAGAGCACTTCAGAAACTGTAGTGTGATATTGACATATATCCTTTATGTGAGACTGTGGATGGGAGCACAGGAAGGTGTCAGCAAAGACTTGAATGATTTTATTATGTTATTTCATTAAGGTGTTTGGGGTGCCTTTGTTGGAGCCATGGAGATTAGACCAGTCAAAAGAACCCACTGGGACAGTTTCTAAGTAGGAGGGAGGCAAATTGTAGAATTGTCAAAAGGTGGAGCTTCCAATTGACCTGGGGGAGATAGGGGATGAACAATGATGATGTCTCCTGGCTTTTCTTAATTGTTGACCTTTAACTAACAATAGATTGTCTCTTTTTGTGTGTGGTAGAGTGACAGGGAGATGGCTGGAGTTACCCCTGTGAGTCTGAGTCACAGTCAAAAAAAGTTAGCTTGAAGAAAATATCTTCATAAAATTACAGCTGGCGAAAGTGAAGCCTGATTGTTTAGACCCCAGGAAAATGCATTCTTTCTGAATTTAAGAGACTATATTAGCATCTTCCTGAATTCAGATTGCAAAGACTCAAGCTCATTCTCTAGTCATTCAAAGAGGAAGCAATTTTCCAGTGACAATAAGGGCTATTAAATGTACCATTTGAAAATGAGAATAATGCATGGCTCACCCAGCCCAATTCCAAATCAGGATTCTTTGTTAGTATCAATCAAATTGGTGATGCCTTCTGTTTCTATATATTTCTTATAAGTTACTTACGTGGGTCATTGGGTTTTATAGAAATCTTCAAATATAACACCTGCATATGAAATATTTTTACTTTACAATGTTATATTCAAAGTCATAAGTGGCAATGAACACATAAATCTAAAGCTGTTTTTTCAGGTACTAAAATGCTGTTATTCTTTTCCTTTCAATGATCTTATTCCTGTAAGTTACTACCTACATATAGAAGACACCTTTTTAAGGCAGTGGAAAGTAGGCTTAGAATGCCTAATACTAAGCTATATGGTCTTTTTTTTACTGATTGAATAAAGCATGTCCCTCTGGGTTCAAGAAAAAAATGTATTATAGCTATTAAAATTCAAGTGTTCTTTTATTATGTGTTCTCATTTTATGGCAGAGCCTTCGGGATGAGGGCATTTGGTCCTGTGTCTTATACCGAGCCATTATTAACCTAGGAAGGACACAGTGAATGGAATCTCTTGGCATACTTGGAAATTGTCACTTGAAAACAAAGCTGTAGAGAAACTGGCTCTCCTAAAGATGTGGCATCAACCCTTCCTTCAACTCTGAGTCAGAAATAATCATAGAAATCTCTATAGCTTTAGGCAGTAGGTTTAATATACCCTCTACTGCTATCACCTAAGTTAGGTGCCTTCGATTTAATTTCCAGAATTGTGCTAGCGATGGACTCTTTCATTGGGTTGCACAATATCTCTTTTAGTCAGAATAAGAAAAATGCTAGCACATCATAATCCTCTCTATACTGTCCATCCTCTTTGGGAGTTTTAAAATAGACTTTATTTTTAAGACAATTTTTTTTTAAGATTTTTTTTTTTATATTCCCCATACAATTGCACCACCCCTTATTTTGATCCTAATCCCTCTGCTCCCCCCCCCCCATATTGTGTCTCTGGTTTATAGTTGTTTTGAAGACAATGTTAAGTTCACAACAAAATAGAGCAGAAAAAGTGTTAAGAGTTTCTGTATAAGCCCTGCTGTCAACATGCATGGCCTCCCCTGCTATCAGCATCCTACAGACTGCTGTATTTGTTAGAACTGATGAAGCTAAACTGACACATTGTCCAGACCCACAGTGCATCATTTGTTTTGGGGTCACCTTATGTATATGTTCCTCCATAGTTGTCATGACTTGATGGCTCATTTCTTTTTAGCATTGACTAATATTCCATTGCCTGGATGTTACAAAGTTTATGTATATACCATTCATTCACTAAAAGGCATCTTTGGCAGTTTTGAATAAAACTACCATAGACATTTTGGTGCAGATTTTTATATAGATATAAGTTTTTCACCTTATTTGGGTAAATACTGAAAGAGTGTGATTGCTCGTTCACTGCTAAGAGTGTGTTGTGTTTTCTAAGAAGCTGCCAAATTGTCTTCCAAAGTGCCTGAACCAATGTGCATTCCCACCAGCCAATGGATAAGAATCCCTGTTGGTCCACATCCTTGTCAGCATTTGGTGTGTTATCAGTGTTTTAGATTTTGGCCATTCTATAGATGTGTAATGTTATTTATTTGAATAACATTTGTAATATGTATATTTGTAATGTGTGTATTTTCTCTGGGGAGGTACCTGTTCTGGTATCTTGGCTATTTTTTAATGGGTTGTTCATTTTCTTTTTGCTGAGTTTTAATAATTCTTGCTATATTTTGAAGAGAATTTTTATCAGATTTTTTTTGCACGTATTGTCTCCCAGTTAGTGACTTCTCTTATTCCCTTGATCGTATCTTTTGCAAAACATAAGCTTTCTATTTTAATGAAGTCTAGTTTTGAATTGTTTCTTTTATAAATTATTTTTTGGTTTTGTATCTGAAATACCCAAGATCATATAGATTTTCTCCTATGTCATCTTCTAGGAGTTTTATAACTTTGTGCTTTACATTTAGTTCTGGGATCCATTTTGAGTTAAATTTTGTGAAGGTTTGTGTCTACATTCATTATTTTCCTATGTGGATATCCAGTTGTTCCAGCACTGTTTGTTGAAGACTATTTTTCTCCATGTTGCTTTTGCTCCTTGTCAAAATTCATTTGAAGATAAATGGGTCTGTTTCTGGATTAATGTATTTTCCTATTTTTTTCTTTTGTCTAGTATCATACTGTCTTGATTATTGCAGCTTTATAGTAAATCTTGAAGTAGGCAATGCTAGTCCTCTGATTTTTTTCCTCTAATATTGCTTTGGCTATTCTAGATCTTTTGCATATTGAAAAGAACTTTAGAATCTGTTTCACTATCTGCAAAATAATTTGTTGGGATTTTGAATCTTATTACATGGTGTAACAGGGTGGTCCCCAGGAAAGGGGGAGGTTCCAGGTCCCCTGCCCCACCCAAGGGAGGGTGGAGCTGAGCAGAGAGAGAAGAAGCTGCAGAGGAGACTGAGGAAGGAAGGAACCAGGACGCAGAGTCAGAAGGAGACCTGGAGGATGCACATGGAGCCGAGAGACACGTGAAGAAACTGCGCTTGCCTTTTGGTCGTGGACTGGGTGACACAGATGTGGGTGAAAGACCCTTGGGGAGGTGACAATGGCGGTTTTTGTCTTGATTTTGACTTTGCTCTTTTCCTTTCTGATTGTCTGGTTGTTTCTGACCCTTTGCTGTGGGTCCCCACTGGAAGGTGCTTTAGACTCGTGGCAGGCTTTGGGGCCTTGTTCTGGGCCAATCCCATTTGGATGGACTTTTACCCATGAGGGGACGGGTAACTGTCTGGAGCCGCATGGAGCATGCGCCATGTTGCGCATGCGCACGAAAGTTAGGTTTCGATTCCTGTTTCGCCTTCTGAGAAACCACTGCATTTCCGGTAAATCATGTGGGACTGGGAGGTACGATGGGAGGAGCTACGAGGGTATAAGAAGGGAACCACGGGCGAGCGCGGAGAGGGACTGCGGAGACTGCGTAGAGGATGAGGCGAGGAGACCTCGAGAAGGAGACTGCGAAAGGATACTGCGTAGAGACTTCGAGAGAGGATACTGAGAAACGTACTGAGAGAGGAGCATAGAGAAGGCCAGGGAGGGTAGTAGGACAGGGAAAAGAAAAACATGTAAAAGTAGGAAAAGGAAAAAGGAAAAATAAAGAAGCAACCGCTAGCGGCAAGTTGTCTCAAGGCCCCCATTTCAATCCTCAGCCCTTCTCTTTCCCTGCCTCCGAATCCCGCCGGTCGGGACAGGTAACTTTGGCTGCTTGATTTAGAAACTAGATTCTCTGCCTTTCCTGTATTGTTTCCTAATTGTATTGAAGTTCCTTCCCATTAAAGTCTTATATGTTTTGTCTTGATGCGGCGGATGGCAGAACCTACTTAGAACAGGCAGGTTTGTGGGGTCTGGGCTGCTCCTCTCCCTGCTCTGTAACAATAGGACATATAGATCTTGTGCAGAAAAATACAGTTTGCTTATCATGAGTTTTCCATGCACATGAAATGTCTCTCTACTATTTAAATTTTGACATTTATTTCATCAGAGTTTTGCAGTTTTCCTCATAAAGTTCTTGCACGTATTTTGGTGCAAGAATTTCTTCCTTAAATGTTTGGTAAAATTTACCAGTAAGCCCATCTAGGTCTGGTGTTTTCTGAGTGTGATACATAATTTTTGTCTGGAATGAGTGATATAGCTATTGGTTGATTTAGCTGAGTCTTGACTTTTAGCCCTTTGAAAATGCAGGAACCCCTCACCTGAACTTGTAGAATAATATTTAAAACTCTGCAGTTGTAATGTAAATTCCCTCTTTTTTATTGATTTATCTTTACATCCCCTTTTAAATGTCTTATGGTAGATAGTTATAAATATCAATTTAATAGAAACATTGATTTTTTTTTTGCCAAGTACAAAAATAAAGGTAAAGTTAATTATACACATTTTCTGGGGACATTTTCTCATTATGTGTCATAATGAGAGCTAACACTGTTTTGCCCCCATCTCAGGAGTTATAGTTGACCTCGACCATAGCTTGGGCCAAAGGTACACCCCATTTTGAAGATCAAAGAATTTGATAAGTTGGCGTATGTAGACTCTAATAGGGCCACTTTTGGTTAGCATATTTGTTTGATGAGGTTTTTTTTATACAATCAAAAGCAAATACAAATAATTCTATGAATTGATTTATCCCTTTATCTGTGACCATATGGGCAAACACCTCTCCTTTTGGTATGAATTCTGCTTTTCAAATGTTAGGGTAACTTTGTATAAAGTAGACATATAACTGATGGAATCACAGTTATAGGCCCCTGCTTACCCTTAACAGAGTTGATTTTATGTTAATATGCTGAGAATTCTGGCTTAGGAACTCAGAGAGTAGTTGGGTGAGGCTTAGGTTTAAGACAGTGTTCACGCATTCATTCACAACCATAATCAGTAAAAATATATTGGGTGTCAATATAAGAGAACTGAAATCAAGTCAGTTCTTGAACCCGAAGTCATGCTTTTGAATCTGAACCTCAACCTTTTTGCATCTCAGTTTCCTCAACTCAAAAGTTGTTCTGAGGGCTGAAATTTATAACATCTGTGATGGCACAAAGAGTTTAGATGTCCTGTTGCAAATTTCTAAGTGTTACTTCATCTGAATAAAATACCTTTCTCTGGTTTCAATGAACTACTAAAAGTGAGGAGTTCCTTGAGACAGAACATGTCTGTATCCCTATTATGGTCCTTATAACTCTTTTTTTTTTTAAATGTTTATGCATACAAGAACTGGGGTACAGGCCAGAGGTGTGTGTGGGGTGGTGGTGGTGAGAGGATTCACCAGAGACAGAGTGGGGAACAGAACAGGCAGATTGACTGAAATACACTGCTGAGGGGCGCAGTGGGCGAGTCAGGAGAGGTCTGCTGTGCCATGTGCGTAGCTCCCTGGCCAGGGATCGAACTCATGCTGCAGTGGCTGTGGATTGCTTCATAGGTTGCGTCTTAACTCCTTGCACCACCAGGAAGTCCCACCTTATAACTCTTATAACTGACAAATACTCATTGTAGTTTTGCTAAAGGATGGAGAGAAGAAAAAAAGGAAAGAATGAAGGAGGTAAGGTAGACAAATATAACAAGGAAATGGCTACAAAACTATATTCAAAACTTGTTTAAAAAGCAGCAAAATGGGGCTTCCTCTGGTGGCCCAGGCGGTTGGGCGCCACACTGTGAAGCTGTCTGCAGCCTCTGCAGTGCTGGTTCGATCCCGGCTGGCCAGCGAGGGTCCTGCATGGCGCAGCAGACCTCTCCTGCCTCACCCGCTGCTCCCCTCAGCAGTGTATTTCAGTCAGTCTGCCTGTTCTGTTCCCCACTTTGTCTCTGGTGAATCCTCTCACCCTCCCGCGCATCTGGCCTATACCCCGGTTCTTGTATAAAAAAGGCAGCAAAATGAGTTGCAAATATGTTGTATGCAGATTAAGAACTTGATATATCCCTTTAAAGTGGAGTTTGATGATGATTTTTTTTGAATCAATTGCTTTTAATCCCATTTTGTATAAAACTCCCACCTATATTGTCACTCCCCCATCCCCAAATGCAAGGATTTGTAGAATTTTTTTTTGTTTTTGTCTCCAGAAGGTAATCAAAAAGCAATACTGTCTTACTGAGCCTATGTCTTGTTGTAATTATTGCTTTCTTAATAAATAGTTATGGAAAGATAAATTGGGATATCATCCACCATCTGACATGGGAGATTTGATTAAAACCAAAGGAGGCCAATGGAAAATGAAAGAAATAAACATAATTTTTCAGAGAGCTGGTTGTAGACCAATCACTTGAACAGTTTGTATTGCTTAATGAATCTATTTCTCACAAACACATATTTGGCTGTTGGCTCCCAGGCCAACCCACAAAAGCCTATTTAATGGCAAATACACCTGAAGCAGTCTTTGAGTTTACAGAGTAATATAGTCAAGGCTTCCCCTTGGGATGCCAGCAATCTGTCCTTCTGGATTCTGAGACAGGGAGCTCCTGTCTCCTTCCTAATCCCTTCAACTTCCATCTAGCACTGAGGAGGACAAGTTAATTGGAGGATTTGATTAAAGACCGTTTGTCTTGGACTGAGTTGAACAGGCATAAAGATGAAAGGAAGCATCTGGGATGGAGGGAAAAAAAAAAAAAGAGGTGATGTTTAATAATTCGTAAGGGCCATATTGAAGCTATCCCCTCCAATCTCTTAAGTTTTATGGAAAAAAAGATTTTGAAGAAAAAAATGTATACACACAATGTCTAATATACATTGTATCTATAACCATAGCCTTATATAGTTATGAATGAATCATATAACTCAAGAACTACAAGAAATCACCATTTCAGTGCATAACAAATAAACACTTTTTCTGGTGTGTCCCCAAAAAGGCTTTCTACAGTAATTGCAGCTGTGTGAGTGACTTTCCCAAGCCACACAAGGAAAAAAAGGTGTCTCTTGGACAACTGGTATTAACTCCTATTGAAAAATTGAGATGAGAAAAATTCTCTCCCCTCCATATTAATCTTCTCTTCCACAGACTTGACCTGTAGTCACTAAATTAGAGAATTAGACTCATTATTAGCCTTGCGTTCACAACTTCTTAATTTCTATTTTGAAATGGGAACAATTCTCATTTTAGTGCTGTTTTTAGGTCACACGCTCATGTGGCAAGGCTGCCATCTAGTGGGCACCAGGCTTCATTGCATCCTGAAAGTGGAAAAAAGAATTAGCCCTGAATTTCTGTATGCAGCCAGTATGCTCCTGCTGCTCGCTAAGTTAGGGAGGTTTTCTGGGGATTTTAAGATGCAAAAAATTCAAAGCTCATTAACAGAGTTCCTGTTCTTAATCACACATTACTGTGACTAAAACTTCAACCCTCATTTGGGGCACTTTGCAGTATCATAGACGAATACAGGGCATGTTTGGACTCTGGGAGGAATCAGGGTTGCTGAAATTAGGTCATGTGAACAACTCTTAGAACCAGCAGTAATTTTCTTGCTCTATTACTGGGTTTCAAACAAATTTAAACAGTTTTTATAAAGAATGTTGGCATTCATAACTCCTTTGCTGCTGAACAAGGTATAAATTCATGACAAAGACTTTACATAGAGAGATTTAGCTAAGAGGTGGCATCAGATGGTGGCATCAGTGGCATCAGTCACTCACACAGTTGTGAAAAGCTTGGCTTTTAATAGCGACTGTGTTTGAATCCTAATTCATAGGTGTACAGACTAGAGGAATGTACCAGATGGCCACATGCCTCAGTTTCCCCATCTGTAGTTAAGACTCATAGTAGCTGTTATTCCCAAGAACTACAGGTTATGACATACAAAGAAATCTAGCTCACTATTTAAAAAAATTATTATTATATAATATAAAAATTATAATAATTTATATAATAATAAAAATTATTATATATAATTATTATTTTATTATATATTAAAATAATTATTGTATATAATTATTATATAATATTATATATTAACTATTGAATATCCAGGGATTACCAACATTTGAGTTTCAGAGTCTGCACACAGTTGACAGACATAGTAAGGAAAGAAGCCTAAAACTTACCCACATGTTTATTTTTCTTCTTTAGAGGTCATCCAAAGAAGGCGGTCTTGTTTTACGTGCTGAAAAACTGAAATTCAAGGCTCACTGCAATGAAAGACTGAAAAAAAAGGTAAGGGGGGAGTAATCTGAACATGAATGTTATCTGACTTTTTCAAACAGTTGGAGAAAAGCAAACTGATTTGCAGTGAAGAGCTGTGTTGTCAGAGTTTAGCTCACTCTCCACTTTTTACTGAATTGTATTCAATGAATCAAAATGAGGGGAAATGTCAAATTTTACTGCTTGAGTGATTGAAAAAAAAATGAAACAGAAGCCCAGTTCATGATGAAGAATGAAATCATAGAATTTAGAGATAAGACAAATCCAAAGAAGTAACAAAGTTAGATAGTAATGAAGTTTAACTCCAGAACTGCTTTCCAGTACCCAACACAGGCTTCAGCAGACAAATGAAAAGTCACTAAAATGGCATTTTTTTTAAAAAGATTGTATTTATTTATACAAGAACCGGGGTACAGGCCAGAGGTGCTGGAGGGTGAGAGAATTCACCAGAGACAGAGCAGGGAGCAGAACAGGCAGAAGGACCGAAATACCCTGCTGAGGGGGGCAGTGGGTGAGACAGGAGAGATCTGCTGCGCCATGTGGGTTGCTCCCTGGCCAGCTGGGAATCGAACCGGTGCTGGAGACGCTGCAGACAGCTTCACAGCGCTGCGCTCAACCCGCTGTGCCACCAAGGAGGCCCTCAAATGGCATTTTTATTGGTAATTAGGTCTTTTAGTAAGAAACCCCCCTAGCTTTGCAAACACTCCTTGCTCACATAGCTCCTATCCTTTGCTCCTCTTAGCAAGTGTGGCAGCTGATACTTTCTGGGGATGAGAAGAGAGGCCAGTATCAGTTAATTACTCTTATATCTTGAAGGACTGAGTCAGAACTAGAAGCAGGTAGTCCACAAATACCCTAGAAGATTCCTAAGGGAACAAATATTTTCTAATGTTTCTCTGCAAGCCTGAGCATCAGACAGCAGAATCAAGGAGGAGAGCTGACAGTGGATGTTACCACCTCTCCATTGCCTTAAGCAACTTTTTTGATATTTACATGGTCAACCTGCAGACACGTTGGAGCCCAAAGAGTGAATCACAGACATCTCCAAATAACGTTTGGAGATTTTCATTCTGCCAACAGCCATAGCCCATACCAAACTCTTCTCTTACTCAGTCCAGATTTTCTTTTATTGAATTATGTGTTTTAACCAAGTAGGACAGTCATATCCCAGTTGCTTCATAGTAACTTCTATTCCTGTCGATAATCAAAACATTTTTAAAAGACAGTACTTCTTCACATAAATAAAAGATAGTGAGGGCCTCCCCTTATAGTGCAGTGGTTGAGCGCTGGGCTGCGAAGCTGCCCACAGCCTCTGCAGCGCCGGTTCGATCCCCGGCCACCGGCGAGGGTCCCACATGGCACACAGACCTCTCCTGCCATGCCTGCTGCTCCCCTCAGCAGTGTACTTCGTCAGCCTGCCTGCTCTGCTCCCTGCTCTGGATCGGTGAATTCTCTCACCCTCCTGTGCTTCTGACTGTACCCAGTGCTTGCATAAATAAATAAATAAATAAATAAATCTTTAAAATAAAAAAAAAGATAGTGAAGGAATAGGACAAGTGATGATAGAAATAAGGATAAGGATAATAAGGAGACATAGAAAGAGAAAAGCATTTTCCTTAAGGTATTAATTCCATGGATGCCACATGCCATTTTTATTACTTCCAGCAAGCTCTATCTCCAGGTTCCATAACAACTGAATCTCTCTACTCTTAAAAAAGAAAAAGATTAGCAAAATTCACACGGTCTGTGTGTGCTCCAGGAATTGCAAATCAATAGCAGGTTAGAACTTCTAAGTTCTGGTGGTTTCTCTATTTCCATCTCTTGGTATCAGTGACCCAGGCACTCCACCAAAATTCCCAGGGCAATTGTAATGGACGATGGGACAAAGGAACAAATTTATCTTTTGATAGAATACAAATGTGCTCTGAAATTTTTTTAATATTCTCTTAATTTGGGAAGTTTTTCAAATAATTGATACTACTTTGCTTTCTTTTCTCTGGGGGCAGGGAGGAAAAATGAGGTAATGCTGTAGAGAGTGATAGAAAAAGCAAAGTCAAAGAGGAAGATTAAAGGAAAATCCAAGGGAAGTCAGGATCATTCTCAACCTGCCAACTGATGGGTGGTCTGGCTTTCCTCCATGCACTTCCCCATTCCCTTCCAAGTCTGAAATTTTAGTGTCTTCATCTGGATTCTGCAGCAAGCAGTCACACTATCAGACTTTTCAAAAGTTGGTATCATACATCTAAATCTGATATGCTTTAAACTCAACAGTATAGTTTATAACAATTGTCTTTTGAATGAGTTAAGGTAAAAAAACATACTTGTGTTTACAAATTCAATAATATGTAGGTATATTTGCACTTACTTTTTTGCATCTTCTTACAAAACGATATTTACTGCTGTTATTTATTTCTTTGTGTACATGCGGGTTACCACTTGGCTTCATTTCCCTTCAGCTTGAAGTGTTTCCTTCAGTATTTCTGATTGTGAAATTGTCATAGCCATGCGCTATTTCCATCTTTGTTGGTGCTGGTTTTTTTTTTTTTTTTTTTCATTATCTGCTAATTTTGATGTGGTTCCCTTGTTCATGGTGAGTTGATGTGTGTGTGTGTATGTGTGCAGCTACTTTTAGGATTTTCTCTTTGACTTTTCTGTATACGTCCAGTACGTCTAGTGTGTATAGCTACGTATCTATGTACTTATCTTACTTGAAGCTCATTAAGCTTTATGGATATGTAGTTAATGCTTTTTTGGTTATCAAATTTTGGAAATACATAGCCATTTATTTCTTTGTACATTTCTTCATTTTGTTCTGCTCTTTCTTCCCCTCTCCTTCTGAAACTCCTTTAATCTCCTGTTATTATGCTTTATGTTGTCCCATATATATCTGAGGTGCTATTCATTTTTTTCTCCATTCTTTTATTGTATTTTCTTCAAATTGAATGATCTTTATTTATCCCCTTGAGGTAGGCTGGTTGTTTCTTTTACCAGCTCCTATCTGTTGAGCTATTGCAGTCATTTCTCCTTTTAGTTATTACACTTTTCAATACCCCAAATTCTATGGTTAGTTTTTCTAATCCCCATCTCTTTATTGATATTCTCTAATTGATTATACTTTGTCACCATACAGTCCTTAGCTATTTAGACTTGGTATTCTTTAGTTTTTGAACAGACTATAATAGCTTTTTCTTTGTTTGGTATGCCCAACAGCTAGACCTGTTCAGAGATGAAATAGATATTCCTATATATTGGTCACAATCCTTATTTCTTTGCATGCCTTATATTTTGTTGCAAAATATACTTTAGATACTATTATATACTCTGGGTTCTTATTTCCACTTATCTTAGAAGTTGTGGTATGGCTGGTATTTCCTACTTACTCATTTGTTTAGTGATTTTTTCTTAAATGAATTCTGTAGAAACTATTTCCTCAGTAAGTGCATGATCACTGATGTCTCTGCTGTTTTTTCTTTACTATTGCTTTATTTTAAGTCTGAAATAGTTTAGGGGTCAAAGAACAGTGGGAAATGTTTGTGTTAACATGGTTTATATAATCCATTTTCTGATTTTAGAGAAACTCAAATTTCAAAATGCTTAGAGATATTCATGTGTTCCACAAATATTTGGAAGGGCTCAACTGTATGTCTGACACTTCTAAACCGTGGGAATACAATAGTGAATAAGAAAATCATGGGCCTCCCCGGTGGCGCAGTGGTTGAGCGCTGGGTTGCGAAGCTGCCCACAGCCTCTGCAGCGCCGGTTCAATCCCCGGCCACTGGACGAGGGTCCCACATGGCGCGCAGACCTCTCCTGCCGCCCGCTGCTCCCCTCAGCAGTGTACTTTGGTCCTTCTGCCTGCTCTGCTCCCTGCTCTGGTTCTGGTGAATTCTCTCACCCTCCCGCGCTTCTGACTGTACCCAGTGCTTGTACAAATAAATAAATAAATCTTAAAAAAAAAAGTAAGAAAATCATGACTTCAATCTATGGGACCTGAAATCTGTTGGCCATGACAAAAAATATGGGGAAGAAGTCACAATAGTCCAGATTCAGGAAGTGGGGGGTTGATATGATGGACTCGTGGTTTGTTTTTTAACTTGATTAGATTGGCCATTTCAAAATTATTTTTCCCTAACTATAGCTAACAACACTTGGAAAGGTTATGAAGTGACTGGAGTTGCAGAAGGGAGTCGTTGTATTTTAGGACTTCTTTGGTTTAGTAGTATTTATATATTTATTTGAGTCAGTGGTTAACATGGCAGATTAAAAACCTCCTATTTCTTAGCCTGTGATGGCAGAATAAGAAAGCAAAGAAGGGAAAGGAATCATCTCTGCTCCTTTTTATGTCTACCACAAGCCTTGCCCTTTTCAATGAATTACCCACTTCAGTGCTTATGTACCCACACAAGCATTTTGATCAAAAGACTGATTTTGTTTATTTGTAATAAGACAAGGTATTTTACTAAATAGCTCGTCTTTGATTATTGGTATTCAGTTGGATCTAGAAAATAATTAGAAACTTACAAATCTCAAATCCATGAGATTGAAACTTGCAGTAAATGCACAGCAGTAGCTCTGACCTATGCATGGTGGAATTTTGAAAAATTATGATGAATGGGCTTAATTGAGGCATCAAATGTGTTTTTTATAATGCAACTTATTTCTTTATGGTTGCTTTCAGGGACATACATTGCAAATCACTATACAAATCCTTGCAGCCTATCCAGCAAATACAATTCATAGCTATAAATATGGCATTGCATATATCAAGAAACTACAGTGTCAAGGAGCCGAAAAATGACTTTGATCAGAAATGTCACAAAGTATTGCATATTTGAGACACATGGCATTGATTTGATTGTTTTTATTATAGAGACCAAGAGGTATTACAGATCAGAGAGAAAGATTTAGATTTCGAAGTGATGAATTATATAGTTATTCACCAAAAAATAGATAGTTATATTGTTTTCCATTTTACCAGCAAAACATGCAAAAGATGCTCATAGAAATAAACTGAAAGGGAGGTCTCTCTTGCTTGCAAAGATTTATTTTCCTATTTACAAGTGATTTGTCCATTCCCCTCCCTAAAATATGCAAGAAGAGCTTAGCATCAGGAGAGGCAGTCTTGCTCAAGAAATGATTCTCTAGCTTCATTGTGAAGAGACCATTC